CAGATGTGCCTGTTCCTAACAGGTCACGCAATGCAGTCAGTCATACAGTGTGTGCCCTTGTGACTGGCTCTTTTCACTCAGCATGCTTCCAGGGATCATCCGCGGTGTATCATCCCATCCATACTTCGTCCTTCGCATTGCCAAGTGACATTCTGTTATATTCAGGACATACAATGTACACAGGGTACATATCCTGCTTGTCATCATAAACTTGGTTTTTTAGTTATGTAGAATGCTATTAATAGTTACATGTTTTTGTATGAACATGTTTTCAATTCTCTTGAGTACACACAGGAGTAAAATTGCTGGGTCAAACAGCCAAATTGTTTCAAAGTGGTGGTACAAGTTTATAATCCCAGCAACAATATATAATGGTTCCAATTTTACCACATCCTCAACAAATGATTAGGTTTGTTTGAGGTGCTGGGGTCGGGACCCAGGCATGGCATGTGAGGCAAACGCTGTGCCTTGATGGAAGCAGCTGAGGCAGGTGTCAGCTGTGTCACACCATGGCTGACTGGCTCTGCCCTGGTCACTAATGTCATACAGCTCATTCATGTGTTTTTTGGCCATTTATATATTTTCTTTAGAGAAACATCTATTTGATTCCTTTGTTTGTAAATTAAGCTCAGTTCTTTATACAAGTTACATTGTATTTTAAAAGTCAATTGACATAATCATACTAGCTTCTCACACCATACTTTTATTAGCTTTCAAAATATTTTTAACTTAGGATACTTTTTTTTACTAAGTATATAAAAGTTTCACCTTAAATTTGAAATTGTATATAAAAATTTTAAGGTAGTCATTATCTTCAAATTAATTAATTCCAAAAAGTGTAGGGACCCATAGGTTTAGCCTTGAGAAAGCATATGTAATTAAATGGATTTTTTGAATTCTCACTTGAACCTGGTTGGGGGGAGGGGTCGGGATTTGAATGCTGACATTAAGAAATTACTAAAGGTTACATGGAAAAATAGAATTGTGGTTATATTTAAAAGTCCTTATAGGACAGTATTTACAAATTAAATGACCTGCTCTCTGGGACTTGCTTCAAAATAAATCAAGGTTCAAAAGATGGGTGGCACATAGTAAGTCACAACTGGCCACGAGTCAATCCTGTTTTCTTTTTTATGTATCTGAAAATTTCTATCAAAAATAAAAAAGCAGCTGGGCAGTGACACAGGCCTATCGTTCTAGCTACTCAGTAGACAGAGATGAGGAGAATCATGGTCGGAGGCCAACACAGGCAATTAAGCTGGCTATGGGGGGCACATGCTGTCATCCCAGCTATGTGGGGAGCCTAAATACGAGAATCCCAGCTCAGGCTGACCCCAGGCAGAGTGCCTGCCTAGCAACAGCAAAGCCCTGGGCTCAAATTCCAGAACCACCAAAAATTAAAAGTAAAAAAGCACTCCAACCACACGTAGCTTGTAAATTATGTATCGATTGTTAAACTGTAACTTGGGGTTGCTTGTGAACCATAGGAGACACTGTGTACATGAGCATGGGTAGCTACAACTGAATGCTCTCAGTTTTTTATAAATTTAAGAAATCACTTACTCCCAAAGTTATCTCAAAAGTAAAAGATCAGGGAAACTTAGTAAGATGCTGATTACCTGCAACTTAATTACCCCACCAGTCATGGACTAACTGGATAACTAACTACCTCAACCACTGAACACACAATAGCCAGAGCACCACGCTTCAACTAGCTCCATCTCCTCCAAAAAGACTACTGCGGGCACTGTGTAGTAACTACAGAAAATACTGTCTCCAAGGAAGTACATGTTCATATAATTTTACTTCCTTTACTAGGTTTTTATCAATCCATCAGGCCATATGAAACTCACCCAAACTGTACATCCCACAGACATATGAGTTAAGACAACTCGGCATCACCTGTATACTTAAAATATACAGCCACCAGAATGGCTAAAAAAAAAAGTACAGGTAACAATGTGGAGAAACAGCAACCCTCGTGTTGTAAGAAAACGCCTAAACGGTACAGCCACTTTGGAAAAGCTTGAGAGTTTTCTAAATGTTACATATAAATTTAACAGCCAGTCTAACAATTCTACCGCTAGGAATTTGCCCAGAAGAGATGGAAGTATTTCCAGAGACAGCTGTGTGAATGTTCCCAGCGTCATTACATATATGGTACATACAATGTTTTGGCTTTGGGTCTGAGAACTGAAACCAGGACCTTGTTTAAGCTAGGCACACACTTTACCACTGAGCCACACCCCCAGCTTTTTAAAAGTACTATTAAAACAAAGTCTAAGAACAGCTATTTTAAAGCTCTGGGTAACAAACAGTTCACTCATCTCATGTCATCTCTATACAGTGAATTCCAACACACTCAGGATTCATATTGCGAGCATTTGCTTAAAAGTTAACTAAAGCCTCTAAAGGACTCTGGTAAACCCACCTCCACGCCTTACTCAACTGCCGCTTTTGAACCAGGCAGTCCTGACAAAATGCTTTCTGCATACAGTAGCATGGCCTCCCAGCCATCTTATTAATTTGTTTACCTAAACCTTATGCCCTACTCATTTATGCAAACCTATTACTGCCTGGCAGTGCCCAAGTTTCCCATTACATGTTTTCTCAAAATAGTTCATAACCTGAAACAAAATTTTAATATCTGTAGTTGACAGGAATTTAAATACATACATACTTTCTAAACACTAGATTATTTCCCTATCTTTTTCTTCTTCATTTGCTCATATGCTGCCCCTGATAAGGTTCAAACATTTTATGCTTCAAATCAAGACTTTCACCATTTTGGTTCTAAAGTCTTCTTTGCTTTGAATTTGATAATTTTGTTGTTTGTTTTACATTTTTTTTTTTTTTTGGTAATACTGGGGCTTGAACTCATAGCCTACACCTTGAGCCACCCCACCAGCCCTTTTCTGTGAAAGGCTTTTTCAAGATAGGGTCTCACAAACTATTTGCCCAACCGTTATCCTCTGACCTCTGCCTCTTGAGTAGCTAGGATTACAGGCGTGAGCCACAGGCACCCAACCCAGCTCAGTGCTGACTTCTGTAGGCAGCATATTTTCTCCAAGACTCCATTTCTTTCCATTCCACTGACAGATTTGCCAGAGGTAATGTTCCCTCTCAGCCAGCCATCAAAAACCAACCCAAGCTGGGTACAGCATATATATCTCTAATCCAGTACTAGAAGGCTGAGGCAGGAGGATCACGACTTCCAGAACGGCCCGGGATACCTAACGAGACCATGTCTCAAAAAAAAAAAAAAAAAAAAAAATCTAATTTCATATGAAACACTAGTAACCTACAACTGACAAAAACATAAGAGTAAGTGAGCCAGTAGGAAATATCACTTTCCCAACAAGTAGTAAAGAAAATAAGAGTACTGATAAAACCATTTATATAATGATAAACTTTAAAAAAAAAAACTATCAGGTATAAATAAAGCAAATATGCAACCAAAATGGCAATTAGTAGTAAGGAAGAGGGGATTAATATTAGGAATTTTCAAATTTAAATACAGAATATAAAAATCCCTTCCCTTCAGAAATCAAAGGTAAAGGTGTCATAACAAATAACTCCACATTTCTATAAAATAAAAATTACTGCTATGATTGTAAAAATGGAAGCAATAGAGTTCAGAAATATACTCAAGTTTATAATCAGTTAAATGATGAGCCATAATCTGTACCCTACTTATCACATCAAACAAAAATCACAACTCAGGATTCGTGTCCTCCATCAATAAGGTGTGTTAAACAGCTCGCATTTAAAAACATTACTGTTACATTAGCAAATCTGATAAAATCTTATCAAAACATCTAGTATTCAATATAAATCATATGATTAAAAGTATAAGGTTAACATTTAATGAAAACTGCTCAGGTGCCAGGTAAGTATTTCCTGTGAAATATCAATTTAACATTTAGAATTTAGAACATGAATTGTTAAAAGCCGATTCAGTTTTACAAACGCATACTTAGTGAACCATAATAAATTCCCCAGCACCCACTTCCTTTTTTATTCCAAAATTCTTTCACTAGATCTACCTCTTTTCTGTCATTCATATGTAAAAATTACAGGTTTACAATCAAGTCCTAATAGAAACATGTTAAAAATCTAAGCAAAGTGCACATTACACTAGCTATAACTACTCAAATGTCTTGATTATCATCAAATAAAAAATAAATAATGCTTCACTTAAATCTTTCTGAGGAAAAAAATAACATACCTTGCATAAATAAGAATTCTCCAACAAGAACATTATGTAAAAGATTTCCAGTTTTTGTTGAGTAAATCTTTGTCTCATTAAAACTTTTCCAAAGTCTAATGAAGGACACACACTTACAATGCCATATTACACAATTATAGCAGTGCTGATCAGATAAAGCAGCCCAGTATAGTTGTAAACATTTTAAATGTAGTAAACAAAACTTGCCATATGTTTTCTCCCCCAAAACTTGCCACTACTAAGCTCTTTCCATGAGTAGTTATTTCCCTCCTGGGAAAGTTTACAGGTATATTTTAGGCTCTTTAAAAACTAATACACTGAAATAATATGTAAAAAGATTTAGTCATGGCAATTTCACTGAAGCTTTTATTGCCTCTGTTGGTAATATGACAGGGATTGTAAGAAACACACAGTTGAACTTACAGAGATATGCAGATGATATTCTAAAAATAACCTTAATCTCAAGTATTTTTTTTATATGTGGGTACTTTCTAATTTTCTACATTTTACTACTGAAAAAGCATTACATTTTAAAATGTGTACCTGTTCTGACATTTGGCAAAAAGGAAACTATACCTGTCCTCAGTTTGAAACAAAGAATCAGCATGGGGAATTGACCAAAATTAAGACTTGTGAATTAAAGCATTCAAGTCTTGTATACGTATGTGTGTGCGCGTTAACTCTCTCTCTGGCAGATTCACAGATATGTTTTCTCTCTCTCTCTCTCTGTGTCACACACACACGCACACGCGCGCACACGCACACACAGCCATGTGTAAGAATTTTTAAATACGAAACGTTCCCTATAACCAGAATAATCCTCAGAATAATCACACCACATTAAATCAGTTTTCTCTTTCAGCCCTAGTAATAGTTTTAATTCTAAGATGCCATCATAGTGAACAACCTTAACTTTTATGCTACATAATTATATTCAAAGCTTTATGTATTTTTGTAATTACACAGTAATTATAAATGTTTAGTACCATACTGATGACAAACACTATCTTGTTGAAAAGGTCTTGAATTTAAAAGGAAAAATCTGTAAAACCCAAGGCACTAGGCCACAACCAGTATCATATTTTTATGAAAAAAATTTATATGCATAGGGGGAGAGGGGGCAGGGGGAAGCTGATAGGATCTCATTTCAAAACACAGCATACTTGAATTAATCAATCTGAAAACAGTACCATAACTCAAAATCTTTAAGACAGAAAAATAAAACAGTACATATAGATTAAATTTTTTTTCATAATTGAAGTTCCTCTTCATATTTATAAAAATGAAATCAGGAAATACTGAAAACAGCAGGATTCTTCTTATTTTCTTTTAATAACCAATTCCTATAACCTGAATAGAAATTTTCAAATTTTTCTTCTGGTAGAACTGTATTCTTGAATTAAAATTATGATTGGAATATTAACATAATATTATCTATGGGATAAGATTTCCAGTCAATTTCAAAATCATGTAAATAAAAAGCAGTTTTAATGTGTCGTTTCTTAAAATCATTTCCACTGCACTCTGCATAGAGTGTGCTGCTATTCTGAAGGACAGGCCTCTGTTAACACCAACACTAAACTTTGGTACCTGGATAAACCAAGCAACATCTGTTCCTATCAGTGACCACAGTCATCCAATATTTGAACTTCATCATTTTTAACATGCCTTATGGAAACGTTTAAGAAAGCAATACACACTCCCTCACCTGTCAGTAAGTAAACAGAGAAATGAGTATTTTCAGCAGGAAAGCAGTCCATGGGCCTTGTGATGGAAAAAAAAAAAAAAAAAAAACATACATACAAGATAGCAGTCTGCTTTGATGGGAAAACTCAGCTAATTTGAATGGAACAAAAATGGTAAAGAGACTAAATAATTTACGAAAACAGAAGCCAGACTGTTTTTTGCATCAAGTGTATGGTTGTTTGAAAATCTTTGCTCCTGAACTAAATATTTGGCAACCACAGTGATTTAGCAGTTAAAGCAATTTCAACAAAATGAGAAGTCATCAAAAATGGACTACTTGTCTGAAGGAGCAGTACCTCTATTATTGAACTTCATGGCTCATCACAACCATTTCCAAAATTTAATTCCTACTTTCTTCTTATAAATTAAGAGAATTTCATCTGTGTTCCATACTGCGATGACCAAAAAGAAAAAAAAAATGCAAAAAAAACAAAAAATAAACCCTCATGCCTAAATTTAGAATATTGTATTGTATAGTAACATTCAAAACAAATTAAATAGTTTAACTTATTTGATAGGCATAAAAGCATTTAAAAAGCATAATGAAATCCAATGACAAGAGTGCATAACGTAGACAGGAGTGGAGTCAAACATTATGCAGACTTTCTAGATAACAGCTCCCTGCAGGACCACTATGAAGAAACATGGGGAAGGTAAGTGCAGACTAGTTCTGTGGAACTTTTTTGAAATCGAGAGTCTGAAACACAATACATTTTTCGGATAGGCACCAAGTAATCTAAAAAATTTTTCATGTTGGTTATTTTGACATTTCTTTCATCAGATATTCTAGTCACATCAACAACACATGTGATTTGCCGAGAAAAAATAAAATCCCCCCAAACCAAAACACCATTCCAGATTCGGTATACTTAAATATATCACTCTCATTGGAAGTGCTATCAGCATAGTCTTTGCAACTAGCCCAAAGCATATATTTAAGAAGTTTTTATAAATTGTTTGTGATGTTCATTATGTTTAATTCTTATGCCAAACTGTTTTCTGATGAAGACAGCATTGTGCTTTATGCGAGAATGGAAACCTCAAAATAATCACCATAAAGCTTCTAAGACTTATGGGAGAACAAACTAGGATGGTCCACAGATTAGATGAAATCCACAATGTTGGAATTATAAACGTTTAGAGCGGCCCAGACTAGAAGACAAGCCCAAACCACCATCAGGAGAATGAAATACGATATGGTCCAAGATGTATCCTTAAAGTTTTGTCTCAACCCTCTGTTTGACTTGTGAGGATTGATCTTCAGTTCAGTCCAGCCAGCAGAAATTGACTGTGCAATTTTCCGTTGTATTTATTGTACAGACTATGTACATTCTAGAAGGTTCCTTTAGTGCTACACTGTTGTACTTTTTGTCCCAGCAATTTGAGGGCGTGCAAATTCCACAAAGTCATCAATAAGAACAGGCCATGCTCCTGAAAAAAAAGAAAAAAATATGGGAGAAACAGCAGAAACAAAAGCAAAAATAAGGCTAATATTTTAATAGAATCCTTTGGTTTTTTTATACTGTCTTTATAAATTACAGCATATCAGCTTTATCTATTCCCACTGATGAGGTCTTTTGAAATTCAATCTTTATAGTTTCTACTCAAAATGTTCCTTGTTTTCTCTCTTATCTATTATTCCAACACACAGTTATTCCTTGAATGATAAAAATAACTCCTGGCAATCAATCAATAATACAGCATTATGCTTTCTCAAGGCCACCGAAGTCAGGCAACGGAGGGAATCTGGTCAAAGCTGGCAAGTTAACAGGTGGCCACAATATGATGCCATGCTGCCATTGCTGCAAGTATAGCAGACAGGACAAACTTCCACCCTTACAAAGAAATTAGCAGCAAATGTCAAGCTCAATGTCATTCCATGATAATAAATTACTAAAGTTTTTAAATTGCATGTATGCATGTCTCTAGACATCCACATGCCAATCTCAAAATAAGGTTCTTGTTTTACATAAAACCTAACCGAAAGCACAATTATCCATCATATGTAGGATTAAACATTTCTCACTTTTTAGTGAAGACTAGACATGATGATGAAAATGGAAAGAAAAACACATCATCCCTGGTTAGCTTAATTGGTTCTGTGACACTTTTTATCATGACGAAAAAGCCACTGGAAACTTCACACGATATTTCCATATTTTACAGTCTCAAAGTCATCCACTGTTCTGAAAAAGGACTATAGGTAGGTATGTGTGAAGAAATCAACGTAAAGCACATGTGCTGGTGGTAGTAGATGGTAGGATCATCTTTATACATACATGAAGAAATGGCAGATAAGTATTTAACGGGTGAATATTTATTTACTGGATGCCAATAGAACCACACTAGGCAGGTGAGGTGCATTTTAAATTAGACCAATCAGTAGACTTAAGGACTTTACAATCAAGTTTACGCACAACACTAACAGGAAACAATAAAAAATATACAAACAAGAATAAATACTTAAAACAATGCACAGTTACAGTCAACTGAAAATCTTAAATACGGATAAAAATTCTTTATGCCTTTTGCTATGAAGTGCTATAGCTGGACCCAGGGCCCTATGCATGTTAGGCAAGCACCCTACCACTGAACTACATGTACTAAAGAAAGTAATGGATAACACTGATAAAGAAGATGAAGATGAAGATGAAGATGAAGGCATCTATACATTCAAAAGAATGTAAATACAGGTCTCATGTGCTTAGTACGCACAGGCCCCGGCTTTGAGTCCCAGCACCAAAAAAGTGGATACAACAAAAAGCATAAATAAAAGCTCAGAAGAGGAAGATACAACTCCGAAGAAAAAAGAAGTGGATAGGAAGTTCAGAAGGGTGTGATAAAGAGATAAGGTTTAAAAAATAAAAAAAATACATCAAAAAATTTTCTTACCTTCTTCATCATAATTAGACATGTCATCAGCAATCATTGTACTGAAGTCTAAAAGAAGATTCCAAGTATCTTTTGGTATTGATCGTTTATGATGTTCCTTTAAAAACATAATCAAAATCAGAAAAAAAAATCACTAAGAGTAGATGATGCTAAATATAAAAATGTAAAACATGGTATACTGAAATTCTGACAATCAAATTTCTCATTCTGTGCCCAATACTCGCTGAGAGTAGTTCATCACACTTCCAAAATGTTACTTCATCTATTCATCTTTAAGCACAGCATAACCTTAGAAAAAGTATATAAAAGAGAAGATGTGAACTTACCAACAAAAATTTATTCCATAAGTCTAAGAATTTAAATCTTCCATTAAGCACTAAGTTCCAGTAAGCAATGGCCATTTCTAGATCTGAAATATTAAAAATAAATTATGTACTCCAATGCTCTAAGCCCTTGTCCCTGCAAAAGAACAGGTAAAACCAAAGGTAAAAAAAACCCTTGCATCCTGAATACTTACATATTAAAACTTTCCTATAGAGTTAAGTGCAAGGCTTGTATTCTCCTTCCTCACAAATGAACTTCAGGGCCTTTGAGACAGAAATGATACCACTTACCTCACAGGGTGCTCTAAAGTTTAAGTCAGATAATGTAGTTTAGCACAATGTAAACTGGTAACTATTTACATGTTAATGTGTACCACAGTCTCAACCTGGGCACTTTGAACTCTCTGAGCCAGATACTTCTTAATTGAGGGGCATCTATGCAAGGTTTTAGCAGTACCCATTCATCAGATGCCAGTAGCACCTTCACTCCATCCACAGCAGTGACAACCGAAACTGACTCCCAATATTTGCAAAGACATTTTAGTGGGCACATTTACCCCCAGTTGAGAATATACACCTGTAGGTTGTAACATAAAAAACTGTAATTTACAACCTTAACAATGTTACTTACACTCCATTTTGATGACTAACTGGTCCTGACCACAAAGAGGCTGTAAGAAAATTAATTGAAAATTCAGAAGGTCCTGTCAGTCCCCAACAGTGGAAAAAAGAGATTTAAAAATTAAAATTAATAATAATCTAAGATTTTTCTTTAAAATTTACCAAAAAAAAAAAATGAGTGGCTTTTTAACTAAGCACAGAGCATAAAAGGGTAAAGAAGCAACGCTACCAATATGACAAAGAACTAAACATATCATATGTTTTTTCAAGGTACGTAAGAAAGTTGTCTAGCTTTTATAACATCCCCAGGGTAAAAAAAAAAAAAATTACATCTCAGGAAACAAAAATCCAACCACAAATGATCTCAAAACTACTCGATAATCTGAAGAAGCATGAGACTGGGAAAGACAAAGATGGGCAAGTCACTCCACCTTTTAATTTTTGTCTTTTCCTTTTCAGTGCTATGGATCAAACCCTGGGCCTCACACATGCTAGGCAAATGCTCCACTACTGAGCTACATCCCAGACTTCCAGCTCTAAAAAATAAAAAGTAAGCTTGATGTTTATGCATTGAAAAAACATGATTTGTAAGAAATCAATTAAAAATTGCAAGGGCTACAAATTTGAAAGGGTCCATTAAGAATAAATCATATAAAACCAATCTCATTTTCTTTTATGAGAATTCATAGAATGAAAGACGACACTTCATATCTCTTTAATGATATAGAAACTTTCTATCATATAAAGAGAATCTGAATCTAGGATAAGGCCAAACTGGAGGAAAATCTCTCCAGAAACATCACTAGTCTGTTAATAATCCCATCCATTCGATAATCTCATCTGTACCTTGCATGATTATATCTACAGAAAACACTAAGCTGGGAGGATGGCCAATATAATCAATTACTAGCAAAACAAAGCAGACTTACCATCTTTGCTAATGAGGACAGTGTCCTCATAGGAAGTCAGCTAAGAAGATATTAAACAACTTTCATCAGAATTCCATTTAAACTTGGAGGCAAATAAATCCCATTCACCATCCCTATTACCCAGAATGTAGACCTGATTATTTTTTGCATTCTCATCTCAATCCCCATACTAGGATTTTCCTCCTACCCTCCAATTTTGTTCTCCCTTTTTTCCCTCATTTCCAAGCCTACTGTGAATCCCTAGAATGTCCTTTACAACAAAACTAATCTCCCTGTATCTTGAATTTTTTTTCAGAGAATACACCCTCAATCTCCTTGTGCTACCTGAAACCTGGATCAGCCCAAAAGATACTAATTTACAGCACTACTTTCAAGTGGCAGCTGCCAATTACCCCTCTCAAAGGGGCATAGTCACTTTCTTAGATCACCACCACCACCTCCAAATCATTATTCTTCTACCTTCACGGAAACACATTTGCTCTACAAAACACATAACAACACTTCCCTTCTTATCTCTATCAAGCTCCTGTTCAAGTCTGCCACACTCACTGACGTCATAAATGGTTCACAGTCCTTCTTGATCCCACGTTCTGCCATCATCCTGAACAGCTTCAATGTCCATATATAAAAAGTAATATAACCACAGAACTCTATTCAGATTGTACCTGCCTCTACTCTAATCCAAACCAGCCATATTCTCTGAAAGAGACCCCACCAAAAGACAACTAAAACTGATAAGGACATTCAGTAAAGTTGCAGGATACAAAAATCAACATGAAAAAAAGGCAGCTTTTTTATATAATAAGCTTTCTAAGAAAGAAATCATGAAAGCAATTCCATTCACAATAGCCATAAAAGAAAATACCTAGGAATAAATTTATCAAAGGAAGTGAAAGCCCTCTACCATGAAAATCTACAAAACACTGATGAAAGAAACTCTCACACACACACAAATGAGCTCTCCCATGTTCATGCATTATAATAGTTAAGAATGTTCATAAATGCCTAAACAATTTACAGACTCAATGCAATCACTAGTCACAAAGCTAGAAAAAAAAATCAATGCTAAAATTCAATATGGAAGTACAAAAGGGCTGGGGATGTAGCTCAATGTAGACCACTTGTCTAGCATGTGGTAAGGACTGGATTCAATACCCAACACCAAAAAAAAAAGAAAAGAAAATCCTAATAGCCAAAGGAATCTTGAACAAAAAGAAAAAAATAAAGGAATCATAATACCTGATTTCAACACATACAAAACTAGAGTAAACAAAATAGCATGGCACTGGCTTAAAATAGACACAAAGACCACTGGACAGAATAGATTCCAGAAATAAAACCATCCATCTATAGCCAGTAGTTCTCAAAAAGGCACCAAAAACATACAATGAAGGACAGTCTCTTCAATTAAATGATGCTAGAAAAACTAGATATACGTATGCAGATTGAAATTTGACCCCTTTCTCATCCTATAGAATAATGAGCTTTAAAAAAAAAAACCCAAACAATCCAAGTTTTTAAAAAAATGGGCAAATGATCTGAAGTTATTTCTCAAAAGAATTACAATGGCAAAATAATATGAAAAAAAACACTAAATCTCATTAGCCACCAGGGAAATGCAAACCAAAATCACAGTAAGATAGTATCTCATCTAAGTCTGAATGGCTATATCAAAATGCCAAAAACCCACAAATGCTGGCAAGCATGTGGAGAAAAAGGAATTGTCATACACCACTGACAGGATGTAAATTAGCATAGTCATTACGGAGAGCAGTATAAAAGCTCCTTGAAAAACTCAAACTATGGGGCTGGCAGAGTGGTACAGTGTCTGCTTAGTAAACGGGAGGTCAGGTTTAAACCCCAGTACCACCAAAAAAAACCTAAGCAAGAGGCAAGCCTGGAGGCACACACTTCTGATCCCAGCACTTAGAAGGCAAAATGATCTTGAGTACAAGACCCACCTGAGCTACATAGCAAATTTTCTACTACTCTTTGGCTTCTCACATTCCACAAAGACACAGATCTATCCATCTATCTTTTAAAAATTTCTCACGGCTCTCTTATCCCTTTTACTAGCTACCCTCTCTCTTCTTTGTTTTAGACAATGACAAAATACTTGGTAATCCTATTAACCAATGTCTAACTCCATCACCCACCCCACTGAATTAATCCCAGAAGAATCATCAGTCTCTCCTAGTTGCCAAATCATTACTTTAGTGTCTTAATATTTGTGTCCCTGCCATATTTGGCAGAACTGAGCACACCTTCTAAGAACTGTCACCTCCTTGAGCTTCAACAACAGTAGTCTGTTGATTTTCCTCTGTCCTCTTTGGCCTACTCATTCTCTTTTACAGGCTCCTCTTCCTCCCCATTTACCTGTTAAATACTAGTCTTCTTTAACCACCACTTCTACTACTTACTTCCCTCAGTAGATTTTTAAACCTTTTTTTATGTTGTACATTCAATCACCTCTAATAACCCCTAAATATGAAATTTGTCTCTGTACTGTAGACTCACATTGCTAAACTGCCTAAGGTCATCTTCAACTGGGTATCCACAACAACTCAAACTCAGAAGGGCTCAAAATGAACTCATTATCTTGCCTTCATGGAAGTTTTTCCTTTCTCAATAAATGCCACGATCCCATTACAATACTTCTCAGTAAGAACCATGTTCCCATTGAACATGGATACCCTATGCATGGTAGGACACTGAGCACCTTTATGGCAGGACAAACCCTTGGCCATAATAACTACTAAAAAACAAATCAGATTTCTAAATGTCCCCTCATGACACACATTTATCCAAAGCTCTCTCATTGTATCTTCTAAGTACATTTTAAATCCACCTTTTCTCTAACCCCAATGGCAGGCCTATGCTAGGGCACTCTTCATTTCTAGTTCGCTCCTTAACCAGTATCTCTTTCTTCTAACCTTTCTTCTAAAGGACTACAGTGTTTTGTTTTTTTTTTTTTTTTGGGGGGGGCGGGTTTTGAACTCAGGGCTTCACACTTACCAAGCAGGTGCTCTACTGCTTGATCCACACCTCCAGCCCATTTTGCTCTGGTTATTTTGGGAGATGCAGTCTTGTGAACTATTTGCCCAGGCTGGCCTTGAACCAGGATCCTCCTGATCCTAAGCCTCTCAAGTAGCTAGGATTACAAGTTTGAGTCACCAGTGCCTGGCAGGACAACAGTACTTTGAGATAGACTGTTCGGGCATGAATCTAGTGTTAACATCCATGTTAAAATTTATTAATGTTTCCTGTTCAGATAGTGTCTATACTTCTAGTTAAATGTACTTACTTGCAATATTCCTTCACCTCTGAGCAAAAGAACATACCAATCCCACCACCTGGAATGACTTCTTTTTTCTTTTGCCCTTGAAAATGTGCATCCTTCAAGGCTCAAAATTATAACCTTTTTGAAGATATCACAAACTCCCCTCGACTGACGTAAGATGTGCCAGACTTCACACGGTAAGCAACTGATGAATATTTTTGAATGAAAAAGGCTCAAAAACGTAGTAAGTTATAAATAAGAGCTAACATACATACGATTAAACTGAACAAGGATAAAATGTCAACTGACAAACGCTATAGGAAAAATTGTCAGAAATGTCAGAGTGACAGAAACAGGCTTGCTAGTGAGAGATGGTTGGGTATGGTAGTTTAGAACATGAATTTTTGTCTGTTAAACTCCTACTCTTCCCCGAGTTATGTGACCTTGGGCAACAGAGCTGACCTATGATTCAATTTAAAATGAAGGTAACAATAGTACCTACCCTCTCGCTGGGTTGTTATAAGAACTGAGTTAATACACATAAAGATTCACAACAGTGCCTAGTAAATAATATATGAGTCTTTATTACTACTATTATTTTTAACAATTTAAAAATTATTTTTACAGATTCTGCAGCAGTGCTGGAAAAGAGCAAATTCAATGATAAGTCCTCATCACAGTATTGCCTAAAATTGAGATACTTATAGAATGAATCCTTAAACCCTTATACTAATTTAAAATGCCAACAGACATACTCCCAGTATCACTCATTTTACTTTTTTAATTTTTGTGATTTTATTTCTTGCCACTGTCACTCTTTCAAACAAAATTAACAAAGGCAATGTCAGACATCATAAAAATGATCAGTTGCGTGCAGGATGACCATGGAAATGAACTGATAGTTCCTAAGGGAAACAAAATGTTATCAACTCACTAAGGCAGAGGGAATAGCAATTTAAAATGCTATTCACAATGTCTTAATTTATTTAGAAATACCTTTAGTTAGCACAACCTAATGTAATAAAAAACACGCAGAATGAAGTCGTAAGACTGAGGTCTAATCCCAGTTCCACCAGCTATAAAGTCACATAGCTAGAAAATCAGACTCTAGCTATGAGTTTCTTAATCTATATGATGGAGAGGATATCTTTTTCACTTAGCTCAAAGGGTTGTTATGAGAATCAAATGATATTACCTACATACAAATGCTCTTTAAAACAGTATAAATTATTTCTAAGCATTATTATTTTTTTCCTCTAAGACAGTGTCTCACTATGTAGCCCAGGCTGGTCTAGAACTTGCTATATTGCCCAGGCTGGCCCAGAGCTCATAATCCTCCTGCCTCAACCTCCTGATTGCTAGACTTTCAGATGTGCATCACCTCTCCTGACTTCAGAGTAAATGCTTAACAAATAATGTTAAAATGTTTTAAATCAACTGCACAGGTATAAAATTCAAGCTGAACCACAATTCAAAGATTTTATTCTAGCAAGGGTCCACTATAGTCCTTAAAATGACTGCTAAAGAACTATATAATCTTTGACCACACTAATAGAATGAAGAGTCCCACAAAAAATAACAGATTTACAATGTTCTACATTAAAGAGCCTCCTTCTGGAATATCATGTTCAGCTTTTAGTGTTCTATTTTGAGAGAAACCAACAAACTTTTCGAAATATATTTGGGGAACAGTAACAGGAATACCAAACATATCCTCAAGTGAAGAATAGTTAAAATGAATTGAAATGCTGGCCTACAAAAAAAGACAAGAGGGAACAGTGACCTTTAAATAGCTGGGCTTCCTCTATGTTGCACTAGAGGACAAATAACAGCAATTGTAGAAGTTATAAAGACAAAGATGTTAACTTAGTAAGAGAGAACTATGTAACAAGTAGTAAACTTCCTGATACAATGTGTGTACACAATCCCTGAGTGTTCAACAGTAGAAGTTAAATGAGCATTATTTATTAGGGCTGCTGCTTTGGGTAAGTTAGATTTTATAGAGTACTTAAGAAATCCCTTTCAAATTTTAAAGATTCAAAGAACTATGAGGAATATCAGATTACTGAAGCAGAAAGTGGTAGAGGAAGCACCCTATCCTGGTGTCACAAAAAGTAAGACTACAGGCCTGTGGGTATAGTGCAGTGATCTTCTGCCTTACATGCAGGAAATCCTGGGTGCGGGGGAGGAAAGAGGACGTAGAAAGTGAAAAAATAGGAAAACTCAGAGCTCATTATAACTAGCAAAGCTACTTATAAACAAACCAGTGTTGTCACTATCACTTCTTGCCTACTTGTTTTGGACCTCATCTCTTCTTTTATCTTCTAAGTCCTTTCTGCCAAATCTAGTAATTTAGACTTGGGAGAACTTTAGGAAAGGTTGTCAAGAAAACAGTTTTCTTTTTAATTAAGTTCTTCAACTAAGTGAATCATTACATTTCCTGACACCTAATACCCATGCATAACAAAAAGAGAAACTATGATTTGCCTTTTAGTACTTCTTCCCCATCCCCCCAAGACTTTCTTCTTATCCCCCACCCCCAGTTTCCACTGTTTTTAACATCTTGTTTTAGTGTGGTATATATTTTGTAATTGATGAATCGATATGTATACATTATTATTAATTAAGTCCATATTCTACATTAGTGTTCTCTGTATTGAACATTTGATAGTTTAGGGGATTTTAAAATAACTTTTTCACTGTGATTAAATACATATATTTAAAATTTTTGCATCTTCCTTCCTAAGTGTACAGTTCAGCAGTGCTAGACACACTTGTTGTTATACAACCAATCTCCAGAATTCTCTTCATCTTACAAAGCAGAAACTCTATAACCATTAAACAATGTTACATTTTTTTTCTTAAGCACAGTAATTATCAGACAGTAAACACAATTTTTAAATCTAATGGTTTCACATGGTATTTTTCCTCAAATTTTTTCTGTAATCTAAAATTCCAATTTAACATCCTTAATATATCCAACAGCTACAAAAATTTAATCTTGGTTTTTACTTTCACTACATAATAAAAACCCAGATACACTATCAAAACTATATATTCACCCAAAACTATGATCCTATAAGGGATAGGGATATAACTAAGAAATAGGTTCAATACCCTTAAATCAATGTGACATTCACAACATCTTTAACAAAATATTGTACTACATTTCTAATATCAAAACAGTTCTTTTAATGTAAACTCAAAAAGCTTTTAACAGATTTTAATTTGTGGGAAGGAAAGAGGAAACTAGAAAAACCATCCTACTTAACTGGTAGCTACAGAAAGAGAAGCTGATCTCAGATGCCCTGGTTTACTCTGCCTGCAAAATTAGGATCTACCATGATCTGACCACCACACATTGTGTTCATATATTGAAATGTCACATGCATCCCACAAACAAGCACAATCACTTTGTGCTGATGAGTAATAAGCATATATTTAGGGCTGGGGGTATAGCTCAAGTCATAGAGCGCATGCCTAGCAAGTGTGAGGCCAAGTTCAAACTCCAGGACCACCAAAAAAAAATTCAACCTATTTTGAACCATCAGTTCAAAAGGAGTTTGTGTTAGAATTATGCTTTAAGGAAATTTGAATCTTTGATCAAGTCATGTTTACACTCTCTTCAGGCTAATTCTCCATTACATTTATTTCTTCTTTTCTAGCTTTCAATCACTTCTTGGTCTAACCCCTAGTCATATAATCCTTTTCTTAACACTTCCCCCCTCCATCTAAAATATAACAAAGGATTAGCACAAGAGGCTCCATTAGCCTGTCCATCTACTTTACCTTCAAAAACAAAAGCAATGACTGAGGGTGCAGCTCAGCTGTACAGAGTTTGCCTAACATGCATGAAGCAATGAGGGAAGGAGGAAAATGAGAACAGGGAGGGAGGACAATGAGAGGAGGGAGGGAAGGCCCACAAAACAAGAACAGAAACTCATTTTCATCATTGATCAAGTTCTTTAACTTTGCTATGACTGTTTTCACATCTGCGAATTAAGGATAAAATATGACTAGCACCTATTACTTCATATCTGTCACTCAGCAGGTGGTAAATTACTGAACGAAAGATTAGCTCATGAAACTCTTCAATTACTAAAGCAGAATATATGAAATACTTAGCACACTGTCAGGCACACTGAAAGTTCACATTAAAGAAAGTTACTGCCCTCATCAAAACTTTCAGTGGGTCCCCATTTCCCACAAATTCCTACTTATACCTTTCTGTCCTGTTTTCAAAAACAACCTGGTTATTTATTTAGCTTTACTGTGTCTCACCAATTTAATGTTTAAAGAAGTATTCCCATTAAAATCAAACCAATGCCTTCTCTCTTCTACAAGAAATCCAAGCTTACTTTTGAGGTTTCAGATCCTCATTCATAACTATCCTCAGATTGGAACATCTTTTACCTTCCCTTGTCCAGCTACAGCTCATACTGTACCTTGCCCAGAAGGCATTTCCCAATCACTTCTGCTTTCGTTCATTCTTCCCTTTTTCTCTAAAACCCCTAGGTTCATTTACTTTGTACTGTCTACAACTATGTCATCTTTTAAGGAAATGTGTAAATTGGACTGCATCTTTTATATATTCCCCTAGCTGCCTCAAAAGCAAATGTGTGTGTATATATGTTTCATTCAGAATAAACTGATTGATCTAATTAACCAGTAGACAAAGTGGTCCAGTAGCTAAAGTCATCTACATTATTGTCAAGAGTTTTTTTCAGAAAAATAAGTTTATGAATGATAATCATGTTCTTTTTCATTCTTTCTTATAGTTTTCAAATAAAAAAAATAAAGTTATTGGCCATCCTATGACTCAAAAATCTTATAATGCTACTTTTATAGATCCTAATATCCTGAAATATCTTCTGGATCATGTATGAACGAAAGAATGGATAAATAAGTAAATGTAAGAGGAATACTAACAACCATTTATTTTCTGTATTAATAGTCTTTATTTTTTTTAAAAAAAATCAGTAGTTTACACTTGGAATCCAGAGTAACCCTATTATCCAATATGCCCAGTATTTTCTGACTGAAAATTCACTGTTTCCCATTGTTTTCCAGTAACTAGCATTTTCATGATGACTTTATGCTCAACAAACATTTCTATTGCAGAAGTGCTACTGTCAATGTACTTACATATATTTGAAACACCAAATATAAGTTTAAAATATTCTTACCTAATCCTTTTTGTCCTGGATTCTTTGCAAAATTAAAAGTAAACTGGTAAAAATCCTTAAATCGTCCTGGTTCTTTCAATTCTTGTTCCATCTTGGGTATCTGGGCCTTTAGTTTTTCTATGCTGTCACATCTACATTATGAAATTAAGTTTATAAAATGTTAACTTTTCACTATAAATTAAAAACTTAACTTATTTATCCTTATAAGGTCTTATATTTATTTCCTTCAACTTTTTTAAAAATCATATAATTGCAATTTCATCTTTTCACACTACATAAATATAAACAAATACAGTAGTCCCCTTATCCACAGGGGATACGTTCTAAGACCTACAGTGAATGCCTGAAACACCAAACCCTAAATATGCTATGTTTTTTCCTATACATATATATCCATGATACCTAAACTTATGAGGCACAGTAAAAGATTAATAACTAATAATAAAATAATTGTAACAATACACTACAATAAAAGTTATAATGAATGTGGTCTCTCTCAAAATATACTTTTTCACTTAAAGAAAGCACTTTATAGCTTTTCTTTAGTATATCCAAATTATCAGCATAACTACTCTGTACCTTGGACCATAATTTGGTAAGATTAAGGGTTACTTGAACAGAAGCACTGGATACAATATTGATAGAGTTGATATGATAATCAAGACAGCTAATAAGTGACTTACTGGCATGTAACATGTAGTATGGATAAGCTAGACAAAGGAAGGCTCACATCCCAGGCAGGACAAAGCAGGATGGTGCAGGATTTCACCACACTACTCACAACAATGCATAACTTAAAACTTATGAATTGGGGTTTTCCTGGAATTTTCCAACTAATAATTTGGGACCACAGTTGACCACAAGTCACTGAAGCCTCAAAAGAGCAAAACCCTGGGTAAGGGGGACTCTTGTATGGAGTCAGATGAGGAAAGAGTCTGGAGTAATGAAATGTTAGAAACAATTTATTTTTAAAATGGGCTATTACTTTTAAAAACATAATCCATTGAACTATCAACACATTAACTTACAGAAGTCTGCTTCAATGAATGTAAAGTAATCACAATTACAATCATCAGTTTAAATTGTATATGACACTGCTTACATGGAAATTAATCACATGTATAGCTTCCAAACTAAGGAGAAGCATGGACCCTTGCTTAAGTGAGGAAGTATTCCTCTTGAAAACTTGCTTGTTATATACAAAATGCAATAATAAATATCAACTGAACACCTACCACCTCTGAATTATCCCAATATTAAATTTTTCCTACATTTGCAAAACATTCAACTTTCAGAGAGTTAAAAAGGTACAAGTACCAGTCTTCCTTTCCTCCTAATAGCCTTATGATAAAAATATTCTATTTCTTTAAAATTTCACAAAGAAATCAATTTACTTTATCTTCTAATGATTTTTGCTTTTATTTTCCTTCTATATTCTTTGTAATACCTTATAGGTAACTTTGTAAATTAAACATCTGATTTTGAAATTCATAGCATTTTACATGAATTCAGAATCAAATGAAAAACAAAAATGTTTTTTAAGTTCTAATGAAAGTTGTCCTTGGCATAGAAAATTCCAGCAAGGTCAGGATAGACAATTATTAATTTATTGCCTCTCAGCTTTTTTTTTTTTTTTTTTTTTTTGGTGGGACTGGTGTTTGAATTCAGGCCTTCGCACTGCCTCTCAGCTTTAAGGCCACCCTTCTTTGCCCTGCTTTGTAATAGTGGGCTACAAAACCTTAAGACTTTATTCTTCTTGCAAGCTTACTTCCTCAATGTCAGACTCTATCAAGAGAGTACTGAAAGGCCAAAAGAGAAAGAAACAAGAATCTTTTACACCAGGTGGTTTTCTATAGAGAACGATGGTTTCAGTGTACTGAGAGGTTCCAGCAATGTCCACCAATGGTGACAGCTCTCCTGTCTTCCCAACACATGGCCTATAACCGTTTCTGACCCACCACAGTGGAGGCTTCATCACAGACATCCAATTCCTACAGTGGCCATGCCCTCTATCCCCGCCCACCCCTAGGGTATGAATCTCAGCCTTGCTGGGATCCCTTCAGTTTCTAAATTCTTTCCTGGTTTATTCACTTCACTCAGCCCCTGGAATGGTAATAGCTACTGCTACCCCTGTTGTACCTTAAGTTTTCTTTTATATAATAAGATACTTCTTTAAATCTCCCTGGTCAGGGATGGGGTTAGGCTCAATGTTAGAGCACTTGTTTAGCATGTGTGTGAGAACCTGGGTTCAATCCCCAACACTGCAAAATTAAGTAAACAAAAACTTCCCTGGTTTTTGTGTCTTTGCTAACTAATTACAACGTCCCTCAAGCTCAAAAAGCAGAATCCTGGCTTTAATTCTGACTCTAATATTACCTAATTTTATAATTTCTTTGTATCTTAGTACACTACTTCTCTCACAAACTTGTGAAGAAATAGGTGAAGCACCTGAAGAAATAGGTGAAGCACTTAACACAGTTACTGAAATAAAATGGTTAACAGAGGCTTACTAAAAACAGAAAGTGCAGCCTGCTATCTCCCCACAGAGTGAATACTTTTGCAGTCAGCACAGACAACTAGAAGTCATAAGTAAAACCTCCACCCATGACTTTCCAATCTATGTATCCAAAGACATTCAGCTAAATCATCTATCGAGGCATAAGTAGTACAATGAGCAATTCTAATTTCAAAGGTAAATTCCAGCTTTTAAATTCTAGGATTTTTATCAATTCAGAGTATACAGCCACACATTAGGAAATAAATCACAAACTTGCTCTTTTCACTTTTGCACACTAAATATTAATGCATAATAACTTCAGTACTAGTAATCCCCTCTTAGAAACAAATGCAAATACAAGTACACTGTAATAATCATACAGATACATGACAAACCCATAAAACCATTTAATATGGAAGCCAGCATGTTAGCCCATTTCTATTCATACTGTTTGTGGCCCAGTAAAAATTTGAGCTTACATTTATAAGCTGATGACATAATTTCGTTTCATAGACTCACCCTAACTCTGTCATGCCGTCCATGAACTCCTGTCTGGAGAACTCGCACTGCGTCGCTGCTCTGAATTTCCACGCAATGATCAACACACTGATGCTGGCCGGGTCAAGTGCCAGGTCATCACAGAACTGCTGAATACCATCTATTCCAATCTTATTTTCATCTTGAGGATCTTTAAAAATAATAATGCGGTATTAAATTAGTGCCATACTCTATGAGACACTTCGAAAACTGAAAAGTAACGTTTTATTTTCCATTCTCACAACATCACGATACACCAGAGACGTGAAGCACTACTGCTGTAACAGACGTTTCCCGAACAATAGTTTAGGCCATTTGGCCCTAAATAGCATTATTAAAGCAAGCAGGACGGTGTATACAGAGATGGACACTTATTTTTTAAAATCTCATCCATGTGAAAAGTGTCCCATACTGATACATATTCAGAAAATGAGAAACTGCTATCTAGGGACAAGGATTCTACTTCAACATATCCATATGTTGTTTAAGTAGGCATCCTAAATTAACAGTATTAAATTCTTTTTCTCTTAAAACAATAATCATTTTTGAGTATCAGATAAACTATATTATGTAAATTCAATCTTAATATCAACAATATAAATATGTTGTTAAAAGAAAATATTAATATTTACTTATCACACAAGAAAATTTTAAACTATTGATAAACACAAAGAGAAAGAGGCACTCATACTGCTATCAAAAGTATCTTAGTAATGTGGCAGTAACACTAAGCAATAGAAAGCATGCACATCAGGGTGGAAATATGGCAGTGGTGGACACTTGCCCAGCATGCACAAGTCCCTAGGTTTAAGCTCTAGTGCTCCAAAATTTTTAAAAAAGCACATCCTTTGACTTTGCAGCATGAGTTTATGCATAAAACATAATCCCATTTTTTGGAAAAAATTTAAAACTCTATATATTTCTTTATAAACATAAAAGACATGGAAAGACACATTCCAGGATATTAAATATTGGTGACCTCTGGAGAATAAATTAGGAAAAGACAGAGAAACTACTAATTCCTATCCCCATGATGGGGATGGAACCTAGGACCCACATGGTAGGCAGGCACTCTACCACTAAGCCACCCCTCCTTAACCATGTCTTTATTTCACTTATCATGTACTTTTTAATTTTTTTCTACAGTGCTGGGGAAGGGGTACATACTAGACAAGTAAGTGCTCTAGCACTGAGCTACATCCTTCAGCCCTGTTTAACTCTTATTTGGCAGTCCTGAGGTTTGAACTCAGGGATTTGAACTCAGGGCTTTGTTCCTGCAAAGCATGTGCTCTACTGCCTGAACCACACATCTAGCCCTTTTACTCTCTAGTTATTTTGGAGATGGAGAAGAATCTCACTTTTTGCCCCTGCCAGCCTGGAGGATCCTTCTTTTTAAGCTTCCCACCCTTAATAGGATGACAGGCATATGCCACCCCACCGAGAGAACCTTTTTTTTTTTTGCCCACTGGCACCTCGATCCTCCCAAATCTCAGCACCCTGCAGAGCTTGAGATGACAGCCGCCAGGCATGTGCCACTGCACCACACCTAACTATTGGTTGAGATGGGGTCTTGCAAACACTTTGCCTCAGCGCCAGCCTCTAGCGCAATCCTCTGGATCTCAGCCTTCTAAGTAGCTAGGATTACAGGGGTAAGCCACTGGAGCCTGGTTCCCACTTAACTTTTTTTAAAGTATGTGTTGCTTTATAATTCTTTTTAAAATGCACATATTTTCTTAAAATCTGGTTCAGCTGAGTTTTACAAAAATGAGGGGAGGAAAAAAATGGCCCACTACCTCCCATTCTCAAATTGAATAATGGAAAGAAAAAAGAAGACAATAAAGAGGCAAAGAAGAGATTTTAGTGAAAAGAGGAAAATTTTTCCTCTCAAATAGATCTCTTGAAATAATCCAAGATCTACAGAGCTCTGTTAGACATGTCCACCCAACTTATATTTACGTAGTATTTATTTCTCACAAGCCCATAACACTGGAAAAACCTGGTTCAAAATATTTAAAGTCACAAGCACTCACCTTTGTATCTATTGTATAGTTGTTCTAACTTCTTCCTGTCCAATGATCCTTTTACACTCTCTCGTATATAAAGTTCAGGATTTTGGAAAAAATTATCTGTTGCAACATCTAACTTCCAGTCATTTTGAGAAAGACAACTTACTGCTGTTTTTTCACTAGATTGTGTGAAGATCATAAACTGACGAACTTTATCCTTCTGCGATGATTTCAACTTGTTCTATTGAAATCAGAAAATAAACTGAAACTATGTAAAATCACATATACTAAGTATTTCTATATGGCTGACTGATCATTCTTAGTAATATTTTTCTCATAAAACATTAAAACATTTTAGCTTAATACTTATTTTTAATCTATCATTAATCAACAAGACAATTTTTTTAAAATCCCAAACACACGCTTTGGTATACTTTTGGAAGAGGAACTAGCATGGAGGCAAAGGAAGCTCACCTCGCTGCATTTATCCTAAAGTGGATCCGGAGGGCACAGACAAAGGCTCTAGAAGGTTAAGTGCAGCTACTTTCAAAACTCTAAAGGCCAACCTCCAAGAGGGGTGCAGGAGGAGTGATGTGGGGAAGGTGGCACTATCTAGCCAGTCAGTCAAATGACCCTGGGGAACAGCAAAGTTAACAGGTCTCTGCTGCAGTCCTAACACCCACTGTAAAAGATACAGAGTGCCATGTTCCCCAACACCACCTGCCTTTGTTTGCTTGCCATTTTTATCAAACAGAAAAAGGCAACAGAATATTAGCATCCTACATTTCTCCAGGTGATATTCAGGAACCACAAAATTACTAAAATTTCCTATTTTCACTCAAATAAGAAGAAACATCGTTCCTATTGAGATACTTTGTAATAGGACTTTCTCCTGTTTCCCTTGAAGGAATCATCTTTCTCTTCAGCCTGAGCCACTCTAACCTGAACCCAAAACAAAATGAAGTAAGGAAATTAAGCTCTCCACTCTCTCCTGGTACCAAAGACCAAGTTCTTCACCCACCCCACCGCTCAAGCTGGTCTCCTGTGCCACCTCAGCCTCCCCACTGTTACTCTTTCCCTCTCAAATTCCAATATATCTCTCAGCAAAACACCTGGTTTCTTCTTATGCTACTATGGTAAATGGAGAAAGAGAACTTGAGCAGGCACATATTAATAGACTATTCTGTAGTTTAAGCAATACATCTGAATCTCTGATCTGGTCCAAAATGACAAATCACAAACCTCAACCCCAACTGGACAGATGACAACACAGACTCAGAAGGCTAAAGCATTTTGTTCACAAAAATCACCCAGTTGCTTAGTAGAAATGAGACAAGAACAAAGTGGTCTCACAAATCCAAGTCTTAGTAATCTTCCCACAAACCACACTACTTGCTGCACATGTTTCTAAAGCTTTTGAGATTCTTAGGAAAAAGACCACCAAAGTTATAAATATTTCTACCTGTCACGGAGTAAAAATAAGATTGCAAAATCAAATCTGAAAACCAACCCTACGTTTTGCAATATGAAAGATGTTCAAGCTCAGTAGTCTGATAGGTCTGCCACACTCCTCTCTCTCTCCCCAAACATGTTACTACTTAGAATTAAAGATGACAATCTCAACCTCTTTTCTCCATTAAAACTGAGAAAGTACACATTCACTAGCCTTCTGCTGCTTCACTAATAATTCTACCTCCTCTGGACACCAGATTAGTCATATTCCATTATACGACACCTCTCTCGAAGATCTAGGAGTCTTCCCTTTTGAAAACTACCTCCTCCTTGAGATCTACTATTCAATGACAACAAACTCAAAATGAAATCAAATACCAAGGAATAATTTAAATTACATAGGGTACACTGACAGATTTGATCCTCTTTTGAAGAACAGGGAAGTACTCGAGGTTCACTATGATCATTAGTGACTACTGTGCAATGTTACAAGAAGTGGAGACTAACCAACCACCGGCCACATCTGGAAATGATTTAATTAAACACCGTATAACTTCTGCGTAACATTTCCCCCACTTGCTTAAAAGTTAGAGGCAGTAAAATAATCAGGCTTATTTGGGATTTTATCATATAGTACATTAAATCCAGTACTCTGTTCCCTTAAGTTTTCATCATCTTTACTGAAAACAGGAAGCTAAAAAACGCAGTTTACATCACTTCTGCAAGTCAAAAAGAGCTATTCACTCTATTAGTGATTTCCTATCAGAAAGCAAGATATTAGAAAATTGGGGGTACATTTAGAAAAAAGATTGTCTTATCCATACAAAATAATAACAAAATTATACAAATAAATTAATTTCTCATATTTTATTTTTTAAAAAGAACTCAATAAATAACACATATGTAAATGTAAGCCATTTTAACCAGTTTATGTGTAAATTTCTGGTATCTGGGGCATTATCTATTCTAAGCAACCCATTTCTAATACCATAACAAATAATGTGATACCTGGTAAAGAACTGACAGTACAGACTCCAGCTAGGCCAAGGGTTTACAGGCCATACCATTCCTGCAAAGCCTTCTTATACTTTCATCATTTCTCTGTCAGATGCCTGTGCCTGTGATAAATTCTAACACTTTACTTCCCTACTTGGAAGGGCTCTACTCTGTCATCTCAAGGCTGTCCAAGAGTAGCTAGCGTACATACACCTGCCCTCTCCTCAGGCCTATTTAGAGCTCAGGCCACGTGGGTGCCACCAGGCAAGGTATTCTGATTTTTGAGAATATGGCAACAAGGGTTTAAGTCTTTTATCAATCTAAGGAAGAGGAAGGGGTGACTAACTAGAGAATAATTATTTTATGGGGGATGAGAAGGCGGATAAAAAACTGAAGTGGAAGAAAAAGCAGATGGATTTTCTCTATTTCTACTACAAACCCAGTGGGTACCTTCCCAAGAGCAAAAACATGTGATAGCCACAATGAATCAGCATTCAAATGTAGTATATGCCACTTTACTTTAATACTTATTTAAAAGGAACACAAGAGTAGTCATTAAATAAGATCAGGCAATACAATTTTCAGTACTCAACTTTTAAAGCTACCTAGATATTATCAAGTTTTCAAGGAAATTCAATAGTGACAACTATTCAAAATGTGTAAAATATAGGATATATTTTGGTGGTTTTAAATTCTAGCCAAAAAGAGGGTGAGAGGGAGAGGCAGGATTGGGGAAGGAACGCAAGGAGGAGAGAAAGAAAAGGGGCTGGTGGAAGGGCAGGAGAAAAATCCCTGTCTTGTTATAGTTTCATTAAAGACTACCACAGTTAGAAAAACTACAATATGGACACTAAAATGCACGTACTTGCTCATCTTTCCAAAATAAAAATGGCTACATTATCAGCACATAGTGTTTTATATTAACCTTACATGTCCCCTCCCCCTTCTTTTGTAACTCAAGAAATTTAAGAATCCCATTTAAATAATAGTTTAGGGAATGGGGATGGAGCTCAGAGATAGAGTGCATGCTTAATACCAAAAATTATTTTATCTGAAAAAAATTCAGACAAATAGAGAGCTTTAGATGAAGCTAAGCACATAGTCGAGTATCTTTTTACTGAACCTATAAAGTACTGTGAATAGAAGAATGAAGGCTCAGACTCTACAGCAAAAAGATAATGTAGTAAAGAAAGTATTCCTACTGTATTTTCCTCCAGAAAAACAATGAACTTTTTGGTCAACAAATATCTAATATGGGCTGGAGGTGTGGCTCAAGGGATAAAGTGTCTGCCTAACAAATATCTAATAATTTTGAAATGGAAGTAATCTTAATGAGTGATACTTGCAAAAACAAAAAACTAAGATCCATTTGGTTATTTCTATTATTCTGAATTTTCATCTCACCTTCAATTTCATTCTAAACTCCAGAAAGAAACACTCAGGCTTTTAACAGTTTTAAAGGAATGGCTTTTCAAATGCAATTCTAGTTATATGATAGGTTAGTTCACAAAACCCAATTGTTAAACATCAAAATAGGGCCAGGAGTGGTATAATACCAGATACTAGGAAGGCAGAGATCAGGAGGATCATGATTTGAGACCAGCTGAGGCCAAAAATTATCAAGCCCTGTATCTCAGCTCAACAAGACAAACATTAGTAACACTACCTGAAATCCCAACTACATGGGGGGCATAAGAAGGTAGGATACTGGCTCTCTCTGGGCAAAAAGGAAACTCTTCTGAAAAACAAACATAGCAAAAAAGGGCTAGAAGTGTGGCTCAAGTTATCTACTTGAGCCCATCTACTAATGACAAGGCCCTATTTTCAAACCCTAGGACTGTCCAAAAAAAAAAAAAATTCAACATTAAAATACCCTAATAATCTTCCATAATTCTCAAGAAAAGGTGTGTGTTGATTTCCATGTGATTATCACATAGTTAACAGCTTAACTTCATACAATATTTAGAAGAGCTAGTTTTAATATAGAAAATTGTATTTTTCCTATGTGATACATAGCATTCTGCAGATACAGCCAAATGTTACTAGTATCCAAAACCACTTATCTATAAAGACCTCTCCATAGATTACAGGTTTGAGTCAAAAGTATAGGAAAAAAATCAACTCAACTAAGGAGACTGCCTGCTCCTGAAGACTTTGACCTAAGGACAAAGTTCTACTACAGGAAAGTCAGGCTAAGAATCTTGGTGAGAGTACATCTTCTCCTTCTTTCCTTTACTTGCACAGAGGCAATCTAACATGACTAGTTGCAGACCTAAACCTGACAGAATTTTATTTCCACCTGTGTCTCTTAATTACTATGTGATTTGGGGAAAATTACTTAAGTCTCTCTGCTTCAATGTCTTCATCTGTAAACAAAGTGTTACAGTTCTAAGTATTTAACTTGAATTCACGAAACCTTAACTCTAGCACATTGTAAGGACTCCTTGTAAGTCCATAAACTAAGGAAGAACAGTCCAGAGCAAAAAAAAAAAAAAAAAAAAAGGCAAACTTACTTAAATGGAAAAGAAAAAATAACAACCATAAAATCAGAACCAAAAAGCTAGCAGCTAGTATTTATCTGAGCTCCTAATGTGTTCCAGGCACTGTGCTAAGCACTTTTTTTCTTTTTTTTTTAACTGACAAGCTCTCCCTGTGTGGCCCAGACTGGCCTCAACTTCAGATCCTCCTGCCTCAGCCTGCTGAGTGCAGGGACTACAGATGTGTACCACCACACCCAGTTGGCATTTACTTATCAACAACCCTGCAAGGTGGTCTTATTGATCTCATTTTACC